CTAGTGGCAGAGCCAGCTGCGCTGCCCCCTCCCCTGTCCGTTCTTCCAGTCAGCGCTGGAGGAATAGAGAGAGGAGAGAGGGGAATCCCTGCAGGGAGATGATCGGGAAGTCAGCGATCGACGGTATGTGTTCGCTGACTTCCCGATTAATAGAGCCGACCTGTGACAGCTTCAGTGTCATAGGTCAGCTTGGATTATGGGGATGAGTGTTTTTCACTCCCCACAATTCTTCTTTACCGGTTAATCCAGCCCTAGGTCTTGCATAGAATAATAACTACTGGCTGAAAAGATAGATATAAAATATTTGCAATAACGCGTTTCTGATTTAGGACTGAATAAAGAAGGTAAATAAATAGGAAAATATACTAAAAGAAAAACAAAATAATAATAATATTATAATAAACAAGGAAAACAATATTAATATTATTTTTATTATTAATAATAATAATATAGTTATATTTTAACTAGGCCAGATAAGTTCTTTAACCCTTTGTCATCTCACGAGTGATGACCGTATTAGATTTGGAATGGAATAAGTGACATAAGCTGGTGAATAATATACATAAAGTATTATTGATCTTTGGTGAATCGACTAATGGTTTTCCAAGCAGTGAATATAATTGGGTACTTATGTGATTCCTTACCTTGTTAGCAATGCAACACGTGTAGGGAACACCGCATGCAAGAGGCCCTGGAGCTGTACAAGAGTGGTACTCGTTCTTTTCCCAGTCCATGTACTCCTCTCCTCCACAACACTTGAACTGGAAATAAATATTTCAAGCTCAGTACAGATTAAAAAAATAAGACCACCCTGCAGAACGAAAGTGTACAAAACTGAGATATATGTAGGCGGATATCTGAGAAATAAAGTTAACAGCCATAACGCAGCAGTTTTGTTTTTCGGAATCCCCTCTGAAACATAGTTTTATCACCCGGCCAGCAGTTGTATTATTTTTTCACAATGCTGTGTGCTGTGCAGCGAGATCAGGCAAGAATGTCACCCTTGGACAGGGTCCTCTTAGATGGACATGTACTGTAGTTTAAAATAGATTTTAAGTGACAAACAAATTAAAGGCCAACTCCAGTTAGCACTTTTTAAGCAGCAACAGATGTTTTCCCTTTTGGGATAAAGGCTTTACCTATAGGGATAAACCATCCAAGCACCAACCACGGCATCTGCCACTTTTGATTGACAGCCTGGTCTGCTAACCCCTTGCAACTGGCCCTTTAAGTGCGCTGTGACACCAGAGGCCGGTAGGAGACGCTTCCAATTATGCGATCACTGGCTGCACAATGATGACATAATTGGGAGCCCATCCTACCGGCTCTTGATTATCGGTAGTTGACGGTAAACCATGGGTGACAGCTTGGTCACAGTTCTGGGGGCGCCGATTGAGTGTGCCCTCATAACACAGTGATGCTTATATGTGACCGCTCAACCCACCTCTGTGCTGCCGCATATACCCTATGGTAAGTGGTTGAAGGATTCGCTCGGAGGATCATTAGGTATAAAAACTATGCTACAGTGGGGACTGCTATTGGCCGATCACATTGGGTTCTAGCATTGTTCAGTCAGAGTAGAACGTTAGCTTTTCTGCCCAACGGTGCCTCACAAAACAAATTGCAGCTATCCTAATGGTACGCCACTGAAAGTGATATTATAGCTATTTTAAAGGCTGAGTAAATCACTTACAATGGATGCTGCTTCTTGATGATTAAAAGTTTGAATTTCCTGCAGAATCAGCTGATCCCCTGAGCACTGGTCCCGATATCCTGTCTCATTTCCCTTGCAGGGTCCTATAGAGCCACCCTTCTGTGTACTAGTAAGCTGTACGTGTCCACAAACACACAGGGACAGCAAGGCGAGACACGCCTCCCCTCTCCTGTAGGCTAGTAGATGAACAGTTGCTGGAGGCTGCTTTGTCTCTTTTGATCTTGTACTGGACAGGAAGTTTAGGGAAGCCGAGCAGAGAGCGCTGGAGCAGTTTGGAAACAACTATAAGTGTTTTGGCAAAAATGTAAGGGAATACTTTGCTGGGTTATGTGCATTTGTTTGAACTGGATTCATTATTGAAGAAAAAAAAAAGTTTGAGTGTTAAATACTGCTGGAAGTCAGTGCGTCACCTGCAGTTCTCCATCATGGCATAGCGTTTATTAATGCTCACCTGATTCTGCACAAAGTCCATTATGTTTTTAAAGTCCAGGTCGTCGTAATAATTCCGTATACCCCGGCGAATATTGCTGTTCAGGAAATCCATGGTCTGGGGAAGAGGGAAGAGTTAGTAAATTCTGTTGATATAAGATGGCAAAGGCGGGAGTACTGCCGTTACAGGAGAGAAAAAAATTGCACCACAGAGCAACTACAGAGACAGAAACACAACAAACTATTGTGCAAAATGAACAGCCACCCAATAAACCCCCCGAAAGCCCAACTCCAGCCCGAATTCTGCTCTTAGTTTTGGTTAGAGAGAGTCAACATTTCTATATGGTTTCTATTACTGTCTGTGATCCCCTTGTAGAGACTTCTCTACATGTCTCTAGTTTAGGGGAAGGCAGCCTCAGCACTCCAGCTGTGGAGAGACTACAAATCCCATTATATCTCTGCCTGTGGAGGTCATGCCTGTCAGAGTCTTGCAACGCTTCAAGGGACTTGTAGTTCCACCACAGCTGGAGTGCGGAAGTTGCCTACCCCTGTTGTAGTCTCGAATTATGTCAAACACCCACTATGCTCCTGATGGCCAGAGATCTTTGCTTGGGCTGTCAGTGACCCTACAGATCTAATTGGCCCAATAAAACATTTAAATAACATGAAATTAAGAAAAGTAAAGTCTTACCTGGTGTCTGAAGATCAGGGCGACGACCCCACCAATGAGCTCCAGGAGAAGGCAGAGCCCCAGTATGTACATGAACTGCAGAAATAAAACAAAAAGAAAGAATGGACTTTCAGTGCATCTAGAGTGTCTCAGAGTATCTAGAGCAGGGGGTCTCAAACTCATTTCACTCGGGGGCCACTAGACAAATTTTCTTCTCCCATGGGGGCCGGCTTGCCAAATTTTGTACGTCAAAATAAAATGTAATGATATCCAGTATGGTACTACGGACACCAATACACACACAATAAGGCCCCATTTATATCTGTAAATTAGACTGCAATTAGGGATTTCTGCGTCAGGAACTTGCGTTTTTCTGCAGCAGGAATCTCTAATCTGGTAATGATCAGGTGACAGCAGCTGCATGTAAACAGGAAAATGCAAGCTCCTGATGCAGGAATCCCTAATTGCACCTAAAGATACAGGTGTGAATGGAGCCCAATACAGTCCCCCCATACCTTGAGACCGCTGGTCTAGAGACACTGGATGTATGGTTAGGAACACCTCTTAAAAAATGGTCAACTTGCTTAAAGGTAGTTTACTTGAATGAAAATGTCAGATACAGGAAAACACTTTTTGGTGAATTCCGATCCAGTCTTTACTAAAACGGGTGACGCTGCTGCTCAGGGCTCATCCAGCCCTGATTCAGGCTACAAAAGTAGAGCTTTTCCTGAACTCACTACATATGGTTTCTCAAGCCCTGGAGAAGGGGGTGTATGATCCTCCCGAAAAACACGTTGGCTGTATCTGACATTTCATTTAAATAAATAACCTAAATGAACCATCAAGCAAGATCAACATTTTTTTTTTTTAGAGGCACTCCTCAAGGCCCCGTTCACACCTGAGCGTTTTACCGCGCGTCCCTACGCACATGTTTGCCTATGGGCATGGTTCTCACCTGCGTGTTTTGCCGCCCGTTCGATCGCGTGGTAAAAACGCCATACGCCCAAAGTACATGAGCTTCTTTGGGGCGTATTAACGCCTGTATCCCGCTGTTATCAGCCGGATACCCCCTCTACCCCTCGGAAACTCGCGTTTGACGCGTGTTTCTTTTACCGCAAATCGCGGTAAAACCACGCGGTAAGAAACGCGCGGCAAACGCGAGTTTCCAATACGTTAAGGTGTGAACCCAGCGTAACACACATCCCGGAATTTGATTGTCTGTTGAGCGATCCCACCATTGCAACCATTGAACTTGATGGACTTATGAGGTGTCTTTATTCAACCTCAAATACTATGTAACTATGTGACCAGAGAGGTAGCAGCCTTGGACCGTAACCAGGTCCACACACTACACACGGACTGTTATCGCGGGTCACCTCGTTCAGAGAGAATATCAAAACCAATTTCTACTCTTACTGGTCCAACACTCCCACATATCTATCAGTTTCCTAGCACTCTGAGATACTATAATAGATGGGGCTTTCCATATTTGTTGAAGGCATGGAATTCCTCATGTGTCTCAGAGACTGACCAAGAGTAGTAACAGTGCTGGCTTTCTTCTGGTGAGGAAGATAACACAAAGCCTGTGTCAGTGTGATGGGGTATTCCGGACAGTGCAAATAACAATCCTTTTATTCTACAATGACCAGCAATATAATGTAAAGCCTCAGCTCACAAGTCTCCATCTTGTTTAAACACATGAGCCGCAATCATTGTACACGACCCACAATTACATTTCGGCTAGCCTTTGTTAATAATAAACATCCCAATTAAGTTATATCAACTCTGCCTATCTTCAAACATAAGCCACACATGTTACAATCTGGTTGGACAGTCACCTTTACATGCTGTATATCAACAGGTATGCAATAAGGCTGGCCATAATGACTAGAATTTCAGCTGATTCACAGGAATCTGACAGTGTGAATCTGAAAGCGGGTGCCCCTGCTATCCATCAGCGGTGGTCACGGTTCATGTTTTCTGACATCAGCAGGCACCAGCTGTCAGAATACAATAGCCGTGCATCAAGAAAGTCGTCCACCCACTGTTTAGTGCGGATTCTAGAATCTGTTTGATTTCTTTTTTATTCATTCAGCCTGCAGGCTAAAGGAAAAAAATAAATCTGTTGGTGTTTAGCAGGGGTGGTAAATTCATTTTGTCGAGGGGGCCACATGAGAAACTGGGATGACTGTGGAGAGCCGAACCGATTAACGCATGATACCGTGCAACACACCGACCGCGAGTTACAATGCAGCAGGTTTGTTAGGTTGCCATTCATTTAAATGGCACCTCCTGGCCTCAATGCGAACGATTGCGCCACAACGCGTGGCAGTGTAATGCTGTGCATTGAGGTGCGGTTGAAAAAAGTAGTGCATGCAACACACCTGTCGTTGCATGCACGTGCAGTTATGCTGCACGGTACTCTGCGTTAGTTGCTGCTGGACGGGAACTTCAAACAGTATACAAGCGGCCGGCTGAATCAGCTGGCTGTGATTTTAAACTACACACCAGCGCATGGCTTCACGGAGAATGAGCCGGCCGCTGGACTGCTGCATATGAAGAAATGGTGCGGCAGCAGCCGCAGTTTGTAATACACATTCCAAACCCCAAATAAATCAACCCCTTCCCCTGCACACACTGTTTTAAGGTTTTTTTTAATGGGCCACAGGCAGGGGCTGCAGTAGGGGAGACAGAGAAGAACGGTAAAGCTGATAAAAGGAGGCGGACCCCTGAGATCATTGGTTGCTAAAACCACCCAGCAGACCATGGGCCAGATACGGCCCCAAAATAGACAAGTTGGGTGTATAGTTAGCGTAAAAGGGCCTGCAGCATGCTTGCTCGGACACTGTTGGCTGCTCAGTATCATTGGTTGTTATGGTGCTGTGCAGCTGACAGCATCCTAGCAACCATTGGGGGGGAGGGGGGAGGGGGGTAGGTGAGTGCATGGCACTGTTATCCCAAAATGACATTGGTCTTATTTTTATCATCTCCGATCTGGCAGCATTTGTTATTAGCAAAGTGTCGCAAACAGAAATCTGTCAGAAAGGCTATACTGAGTAGACCTTGTTAAACGGTTATAGGGTGTACATTATATGGTCTCATTCTGACATTGCCATTCATGGATGATTGAATTCAGCAGAAAGGACAATCAATATTGTTATTTTGTTCTCCAGAGGTCTCCTTCGTTTATGAGAAACCGATTGAATTGAATCCCACCACCTAAACTACAGAGTAAGTTTACTGAACTACTGCAATCCCTGAAATCAAAGTGTGCTCCAGGGAACAGCAGTGTGGATCTAAGCATGCATTATATGCCATCACGTGTTTAGATCTATGTATAAAATATAAGAGAAAAAGCAGATTTTTTTTCCCCCTCAATGGAGAAACATTAATAAAATGCACCATCACTGATAAAATAAAAAATGTGCATGTATTAATGTTTGCATTCAAGCATGGAGAGCATTGCAGCTGCGATCAGTGGAATGGCGGGTGCAATGCACAGGCTCCTGCAGACTCTTCCTCAAGCTCCGGGTCTGTACGGTGGCATGGACCTACCAGTATGTCTTCTGTCTGCTTTCTTTGGACACAGCTTCCATAGTTCAACTCCCTCTTTAATACACCTTACCTAGAGGCTGCCATCAGTGGAAGCAGATAAATGTTTGGGAGTCACAGTAGGGTTGCCACCTGTCCCAGATTCACCTGGACAGTCTGGGTTTAAGTCCTCTATGTGCCGTTTCCATGTTTCAGGCCAGATGAAACCCAGACACAGGACATACAAGACTCAAAACCTGAACTGTCCAGGTGAATCTGGGACAGGTGGCAACCCTAAGTCACAGTCAAGTAAAAAAAAAAAAAAGAGAGAGGTACTCACCGATTGAAGAAGGCACAGATTGTCCCGCAGAGAGGCCAGGACTCCAATGAAGGACACTACAAACATAAGAATTCCTAGGAGGATGAGGATGATAGCTGGAGCCAAGAAGGCGCCTTGAAGCGTTTTGTACTTCTGCCTCTCCACTTCCGCATATATCCCGACAGCCAGGACCACAGCACCGATCATCTGAAAAGAAACCAGACACAACGTCAGCTAGAAAACTAGTGCTTATTATTAATTTTTTGTAGCAACCAAATTCCAGCTGCTGTTTATGATGGAAGTTGTAGTGACACACAGGCTTCTTCGGGCTCAACAGCAGGATTATTTGTAGGTTCACATCTGCGCGATCCGTGATTGCGCGGCAATCATGCATGAAACCGCACGGATTGCCGCACGGTCACGGAGTCGCCCACCGCAGCCGATCACGCTGGTGGTGCCATTATTTACTAATGGCACCCCAGTCATGCCGGGCGGGTCGCACGGTTTCTCAAAAATGTACCTTTTTTCAGTGATTGCCACGCAGATTGCCACGCAGGATTGAATTCAATGGGGCCGTGCGTCAACCACTGTGCCCAGCCGCACACGATCACGCGGTCCTGGGACGCATGTCCTGGGATCGCCCAGGTCTGGACCGGCCCACCTCAGCCTTTCCTTTGCTCCTCCTCTGCTCTGTTCAGCTCCTGAGATGAAAAAACCTGGTACATCCAGGTATGGTGAAGCATGTGTCCAGATCCGCTGTATGACATCACAAGGGAGCAGAGAGATTCCTTAGCCCTGTGTAAGCTCCAACTAGAGTTTCTTTACTCACTCCTGGCAGCTGAATGGAGCATATCTTCTTGGTGGACTCTCCAGAGCTGCCACATAAGTTTAGGCATTGGGTCACAAGATTTCTGATAAAGTGGAGGATCAGAGGCTAGACAAGCTTGGCACTCCAGCTGTGGTGAAACTACAAAAACCATCATATCTCTGCCTCTGGGAGTCATGCCTGTGACCGTCAGAGTTTTACAGAGTCTTCATAGGACTTGTAGTTTCACTGCAGCTGGGAGTCCCGAGGTTGCCTACCCCTGGTATAGATTGATTAATTCCGACCCTTTATCAAAGATCATGTGACCAAAGGTCTAAGCTTTTGGCCATGTGGCCAGTACCAGAGGGAAGAAGAGTCATTTGGGCCCACCTTTTACACTTTGTGTTTGAGTTACATTCTTAGTCAGGTTACCATTGTTCAAATGGTCATCCCAAGAGTCCAAAAGTCCGTTATTATTATCACAAGTCAACAGGAAAGAAAAAAAAAAACAAGGCTGCCTTTTGTATCCTGTCAACTTGTGATATTAATAATGGACCTTTGGACTCTGGAAATGATCGTTGGGCGTTCCTTTTTGGCTTACTAGTGCGAGGTTATCATTGGTGTGTGTGCCCTTGACATGGCCGACTCAAACACATTTAAGAAAGAACTCCAGGAATGCTGGAGACCCAGACAGTTTGTACAATCTATTATTTATCAAAGTGGACCGTTAAGTAACTTTACAAGTGTCAATAAATACATTCCTGAGATGTCACAATATACAGCAGCAGCCATTTTGTTTCCTTTTTAAAGACCCTTTGGTCATTAAAAAGCAGTCCTAGGGCTCCAGGCCAGTCACTTTCGGGATGACATGTTGGGATGACATGTTGCAATTCCTTGGTCTTCCCCTCTTAGTCATCAGACTGTATGTTGTAACTTTGTAGCAAGCTAAGTTGCAGCAGGGGCGGATTCAAGTCAAACATTTTTAAACACAGCCAAGAACTGCACAGGCATCAGAATTGACATGATTGTGCTTACATAAGGGATGCACTGATACTAGTATCGGTATTGGCCTCGATACCGAGTATTTGGGCGAGTACTCGTACTCACCCAAATGCTCCGATACCGGAACTTCCGGTCAGAGGGAGATCTCCCTCTGACCGGCAGTGCAGAGAGAGCATGGAACCGGCTTCCTTTCCGAACAGGAAGCCAGGCGGTGGGTTATGACCCGCCTCCCGGCTTTTTAAATTGGCTAGGAAGCTGGCTTCACTTGTTTCTAGGCAGCGTGGCTTCATGACCAATCAGGAAGCCAGCAGGCGGGTCATGAGGTGCCGCCCGGCTTCCTGATTGGCTAGGAAGCTGGCTTCACTTGTTGCTAGGCAGCCGGGCTTCCTAACCAATCAGGAAACCAGACGGCATCTCATGACTCGCTGCCCAGCTACCCGATTGGCCAGGAAGCCAGCAAGCCTCTAAAGCCGGTGTTCTTTTTCAGTATGCTGTGTGCACAGGAACACATCACAACCATATGAAGGAGTTTTCTTAACTTTGTCTGCAAAAGTGGAAATACACTTTTAATGAATGTCCCCACTATGGGGACTTCCCATCGTCAGAGCGAGCCGGCAGCAGAGCGCAAAGTGTGGAAGTGTGTTGGCAGTACTACTTTGATGACAGAGATCTCCGGATTGGGAGCACAGAGATAAGTGTAAAGCACATGAATACACTCAGAATCAGGGATCCTTTCCTGGAGTTCTTTATTAAAAGCATTATTAATATAAATATATTTGTAAATATGTATGACACTATA